TTACGTAGCCAAATTGGTTACTTAATTCATTTAGTAATTAGCCTTAAAACTAGCCCAATAGAATTTCGGCATTTGGTTGGTGTTTAGCTAAAGCAATATTGCATTAATCACATGACTTTGTTGTGTGATGTTTCATGATTGCTAGCATGTCTTGTATGGGGTTATAGAATCGAGTTCATTCTCAAAATTTAATAGATTGATTTTGTTAAAACTTTGCCATTTTCCATTAATTGAGAATCCAGAAATGTCATGTGGGTCCATTTAAAAGTAAAAAATCTAGTAACAAATCACTTAACTATCCCGGCAACATTTAAAATTCTGGTGGCACTATATTTATCTGTTACAATATGTCATTAATTAAAAATGTAAACAGTTTTTTTTTTAATAATAAAATGGGAAACAGCTTAATTTTGAGAGTAGGGATAAATTTTTTTATAAAAAATTCTAAAAGCTAATAACGTGTAAAATCATCATTAATTAAGTCTGATCCTACTCAAGATATGATACATGACCACCCTTCAACTCTTCGCTCTGTTAACCTTAAACCACCAAAATTTAATATAGCATGAATCTTTCTAATACACAAACCTTCCTGTAAAATTTCAGAAATTTTCAAAAGCATAGGAGTTATTAAGCTTCAAACAGGTAAACAAAACCTCACTTCTGTTACTGGTGCGTTACATGTAAAATAATCAAACACCTTAGTATTTCCAGCAACGAAGTATTTAATAAAATAAAAACGTTTTCAACTATATTTAATAGTCTTCTTCAGTTAAGCCACTTTAAAACGAAAACGAACGTAAAATAGAACTCAAGCAATACAGCAGTTTAAAAATTAAAATTAATTACAACAAAATAGAACGTAAAAAACAAAATTAAATTATAAATAAAATATTAAGAAATTAATCGTGGGGGAAAGAAAAAAAAATTAATCGTGGTAAAAAGATTTCCCTGCGCAGGATAGACTTTCTGCATCTCTATGGTTGATGCATCCTTTGTTAATATGCGCCTTGTAAATTTCAAGTTTTTCAATATGTTTAAGGACTTGTTTGTTGGTGGCTGTCCTAATTATGGATGCTTTGTCCCAATGTACATTAATATCTTGGTGTTTAGCGAAGGCTGCAAGGACGGTGCTGTCCACATTTTTAGTAATAGAATACTTATGTTCTTTAATCCTCTGTTTTAAAAGTCTCATAGTGGCACCAACGTAAATGAGATCTGAATTAAAACGGCGGTCACTTAAAGGAATAGAATAAACTGCTGTACTATTGTTACGGTTTCCTTTCTTCTTATCATTTCGTAAAATTCTATAAATTGTCGGATTATGACGATAAATAACTCTTAAATTATTCTTGTGAGATACTTTTTTAATCATCGATTGTAGAAAAGGTATATAGTTGAGAACTACTGTTCGTCCTTGGCTCTTAGTTACGTGTATATGTGAACTCCCATCACACATGATAGTGCCAACTTAGATCCTGACAATCCAACACTATTGCGGGGATTACCAACAAACATCAATTGCAGATAGCATACAGGAGATGTCCGACAATCTTTAACATCCTTCGAAATGAAAAAGACCCTCCGGATCATACCAGACTTCCTGGTATATTCCATCCCGCTTAAGGACAACAGATGGGGCAAGGACTTGTTATATATTTGTTCTACCAAATGCTCCTTAAGTACCCATGTAAGAGAACACTGAGCAGACATTTAGCATGGACAGCACACTACTGCCCTTGCTGTGTATGCATCTGATCTGCACATTGAGGCAGAGTTTGACAAGGCCAAAATCATAGTCAGCAAGCCCCACCAGGACAATCTTAATGGCTAAAAGCCATAGCCATTTACAAAGCCGGCTGAGAGACCACCTGTGTCAATTGGAAGGAGGAACTTAATCTGTTGCTAGCCTGGCAGGCCCTCGTAGATGTCAACCTGTAATTACATCCATCAGAGCATGATCATGCATGTCCAGCGAAATGGATTTCGTCAAAATGACATTCAATTTCGTTTTAAACCTTTACGTTCCATTCTGAAGCATTTCAAATCTATTTGACCTGAAGAAGAACTTTGCGATAGTTTGAAAATGTTTGTCACCCACTGTATTTTTTACATATTTTTTACTGTACACTGTATTTTTTACACTGATAACAAGTTACAGAAGTGAGGATTTTACTCCGGTGTTGAAATAAAGATGAACTCTGTAGGGTAAACAAAATTGTACCAGACACCCACACATTAACATCCACACATGCAAAAACATTCAGAGTTTTTCTGTATTTCTTGATGTTTTAAGGTCCCCAAGTTCAAAAATATTAAATCTTGGGGAGGGAGTCATTTTTTAACTAATTGTCAAACTTTCCTTTATTATCTATAACAGAGCCAGGAAAGCAAAAATAGTAATCCATGACTTTGTCATTGTTTTTGATACATAATGGTATTACAATGTCCATGTTCTCTGATGCGATGAGTGTGCCCTAACGGAATTTAGACCTAGGGGTCAAAAATAAAACAGTATTACATGCACCTAGTAGAAAATAGGTGCAAAAATGAAAAAAAATACAGGAACAAAGCAATAGCCATTGATTGTTTTGTTGTTGGATCATCTCTCCATCCCTGGCCAGTGTAAGAATCATGTCTCCTGTGGTCTGTGGATACGAGGATAGTCTCTTTTGTGGCAGTAAGTGCAAAGTCCACCTGTCTGCATCTGTCACGTACTGTACAAGAATCGCCTCTTCTGTGCCTAACGGATGCAGGGATCGCTTTTTTTCTTTCTGGTTTCGCTTCAGTTCTATTGTGATACAACAAAGTCATGTGATGTCCTGGTTATCAATATATTTTTGAATATTACATTGGTTACTTTTTTGATATTTAATATGTATAGAACAATAGCTTCTTCATAAAGCATTCTAATTTGAACAAGGTCAAATTACATATTATCAATACTCTTTATATTGTTTATAAATCTATTATTTCCTTGATGTATAAAGATTAAAAAGTGCTTTCCTAAAGTATAATTAAAATCAGTAGATTTCAAGTTGGAAATAAATTTTAGTATGAGTTTTTCTTGTTTTATTAAGCAATATTGCATTAATCACATGACTTTGTTGTGTGATGTTTCATGATTGCTAGCATGTCTTGTATGGGGTTATAGAATCGAGTTCATTCTCAAAATTTAATAGATTGATTTTGTTAAAACTTTGCCATTTTCCATTAATTGAGAATCCAGAAATGTCATGTGGGTCCATNCCTGCTTTCTTTGCAATTTTTTACAATGATATATGTACAGTAGACCCCCTATAATATGGGTTCATATAAGACGGATTCGTATAACACAGCAGAAAAATTGTGATCATGTTTGTATAAGACGCTAAAAGAGGCTTGTATAACATGGTAAAAGAATGAGACAGATTGTCATGACTGACTCGTGTCTCGACAGGATTGGTCGAATCTGGACCAATAGTGGACATTGCACAAACCATTGAGTTTAAACGAGCAGCGGACCTACTAAAAAACATTTATTATTCAACGGCCATAAAAATTATATTTCTATTAATGATATCTCCAAAGTTCAGCAAATTTTTTGCAGAAAGAATAACTTATCAGGAAACACATGACTGCTGTCCAATGAACCGCTCCGCGATGAAAACAAGCTTAAGCAATGACGTCTTCAAATGGTGTGCACTCATTAAGTATTTTTACAATTTTTGTTTATAGCATAGTTTATATGGATTATTCCGAAAAAATTATACATGTTTTGGAAATGTTAAAGTCAAATTAGCCTAGAATCGACTAATTTTATGGAAGAAAATCTTTCAAACAGCCATATCCCCTAAACTGCACAAATGCCAGGCTGTGAATGGCTCACGTATTTGTAAAATCTAAGTAACTTGTACAATACGGAATTCATATAACACGGAACGTATCTACCGCGTTATAGAGGATCTACTGTAAATTGTTAAAAAGAAATGTCCAATTTTGTTTTCTTTTTTTTTTGTTTGTTTTTTTTTCATTCCTAGCTAAACTCCAAAGTAGTCTGTAGCAATGTAAAGGTATCTGATTATGAGATAGTAAGTAGCAATTTAGTTTCATAATATCATGCCTGTTTTCAGTCTGTCATGTAATGTCATGCCACACCACATCATAATATATTCTTAATGTGATCCAATAGTTACATAATTCATCATCACTGAATAAAAAAACATGAAAATACTGTATAAACAAAAACAGGAAAAATAGTTTATTATTTGAATTCCATTTTTTAAATTTAATTATTTAACAAATAGAAAATTTTATATTTAGAATATCCAATATTATTGAAATAAATTAAAAATAATTTATGCAAATGATCTTATTCTATAGAAGCATGTTTTTGTAAATTATCTTCATCATGCTAACTTGTATGTTTTTTATTATATGTTTTGTAGAAATTATATGCTATTAAGTTTTATGGAAACATGCTCCTCTCTATAAAGTGTCTAGTCATTCAAACATGTTACACTTAAAAATAATTTTTAACTTAAGATTATGAAATATAATTGTAATTTTTCAAAATAAGCTTACTTTTAAAATTATAAAATAAAAGTACTTCAATAAAAAAAAACAGTTACTCACAATTACTTTACCACCTCATTTGTCATAGTGATTTGCATACCACAATGAATAATTAAAGCAAGTGTTGCCAAGGCAACACTAAAGTTTTGAAGTAAGATAAACTTTTTTTTTTTCAAAAACTTTTTAAATATTTGTTACATTAGTTTTTGAAAAATGGTTAAAGCTAATTTATAAAAAAAAATTGTTTTATAATTGAAGTTTCACTGCCACATGTGTAGCTACAACTGTTAATTAAAAAACCATTGTAAAGTTTCCTCTTTAAATTTGTATACTAGTAAATGAAATGAAAAAGAAATGAAAAAATAAATAAATATGGCAAAATTGTACGTGACTAACAAAGCATATTGAAGTATGTTTCATGCAATTGAATGTTTTGCTTTTATAATGAAAAGATCCTGTTAAAATATGAAGTAAGAGATCCAATAGGAAAACTTTATTTTGCAATTAAAATTTACCTACAGAAGATTTTTGACAATTGACAATTGCACAATACATTTAAAAGGAAGAAATATGCAATCTTCTACTACATATTGTACAAACACAATGCATAAGCCATTGATGCTTGGATGACTTATGTACTGTTGTTAGGTGAAGTATGTGGTTTAATAGAAAATTTTGTCTAACTTTAAGCAGAACTTAACTAGATGTCAAAAGTCAGAAAGACAGAGATTATCACTTCTTACAAGATATCTATAATTAAGAAATTAGTTGATTATAGATATATTTTTTTAAAGTTTATAAACCTGTACATAATCTGGGAACATTTTGTCAGTTTTTAATTAAATGTTTGGATATTTAAAAATATTTCAATTTGTAAATAAAATTAATTGAAAAAATGAATTATGTAAAATATTTTAAATGCAACAGCTAATTGTATCTATAATGTTACCAGTTATTATTAAATTTATAAATAAATATATCCCATAAATAACTGAAAAAAATAGGGTTTTCAGAAACTTGAACAATACAATATTTATGTTGAGTGTATTTTCTTACTGGATGAATATCAGCTATTTGTCTGTTACAAATAATATATCAAATCATTCTTAATAGTATACATGTTATATTTTTTATGAAAGATTTTTATTTACTGACAAGAAAAAAATCAAATTGAAGTTATTGTTTCTTTGAAATAAAGCCCAATACTGATTAAGATTACTATATCTCAAAAAATCTTTGCTTTGATATTATCATTAAATTTTGCAAGCTGAATTGCAAGAAAATAGTTGTCTACTGATGATACAATTATTAAAAATGTGTCTTAAATTTTTTATTAATTGCAAATATTCTCTATAATGCAAAATTTCTTAGGTTTTTGAATGAATGTATATATTTTCCAGATTGTATAATAAATAATGAAAATATAATTCAATTAATTTTCCAATATGAAATTCTTCAACTCCTTTATTTGCTGAGAAAAATATTAATTCTTCAGGAACATTTTTTACTTGCTTTCCAAGTCATCTCAAGTGTAAATACATATTAATCAATTGTAAATTGAACATTCTCAAAACAAATGTTTTGAAATATTGAAACAAAATTTAGATACAAATATTGGAGCAAATTATGAATTTAAATTAAATGAATGTATCTGAAAAAATATTATTTTACATTTGATGATGAATTCGAAGTCAAAAACATTCATGAAGGATTAAACTTTTTCTCATCAAATAAGCTGTTTGGAGAATTTGTTATTTTCATGTAGCAGGTTATTTTTGCTACATAAAAGTATATCAAATTTTTATCATTTTATATATATAAAAATAGACTGTTACTTTTTAGCAAATATTATAGTACTATTTTTATAATTATAAATGAAAAATATAGGAAAACATATTTACTTTTTGGATCCTTTAATAAATTGATCATACCAGTGAAAATAAAATACAATAAATTAACCATAAATAATAATTGATTGCTTTGCATGCAGTATTTGTATAAAAATCACTTTTAAAATTAAATGTTAGGTTTTGTTAATTTTCATCATATATTTTATAATTGATATATTAATTGAATATATATACTATTCAATTATCTGGTTATTAATTTAGAGAATAAATATATTGAATGAAAACTCATTTGCTATTCATTTTATTTAATATAATTTGGTGAAAATATCTGGTAATTTGAAATATGATAAACTTATATTTTTGATCATGTAATGTTTACTTTTTATCTTTATTTTAATATCATATTTTAATAGTGTTTTTCCCTATTTAATAATAATTATTTATTTGCTTGTTTCAATCTTTACTTTCAGATTGCCAAAACTTTTTCTTTGTGAGTTTTGTCTCAAATATATGAAGAGTAAACGTATGCTTTTCAGGCACATGGTAAATTTTTATATAAAATATTTTTTGTTTGTAATTGTTTAATTAAAGATGTTGATGTTATATGGATAATTTTATTATAAATTTTTAAATTATATTTAATAATTGTAGTTGGACTTATATCTAAAAAAACTTATTGAACAATTTTTATAATAAGAAAATGAAACAAACTATGTAATTGTATTTTATTATATAATCAAAAACTTTGATTACAGTAAGTTATATTAATTTTACTTGAGAATTATTCTTGAATTAAATGATAAAAGAAGAGATAGCAATAAAGTAAATTTAACAAGTTATGATTATTTAATATAGTTACAATCTTTATAAATAAAGTTTTTTTAATTATATTTTTTGGATTTAAAGTTACAGTAAAAATAATATATTTATTATATGTTAGAAAATATTTTTAAATTTTAAAATCTTTTTCATATTTTAAAATATCTGAATATCAAATTCCTTACAAATTAATTGCAATTGCAAATGAATAACATCAAGTTATATAATTAACACATGTAATTGTTTCATCAACATACAAATTATTTAAATTTTACTTAATGTAAATTAAATTTTTATTGCAACAACAAGCACTTTGTAAACAGTTTTAAAGAGATTACATTTAAATGTTTAAATGCAAAAGTAATTATATATATTTAGTTTAAATTACAATTTTGTTTATAAATATGCAGATAACATGTTAATAAATGTTAATTAATTTCACTGTGTTTATTCATATGTAGCATGGTGTAACTGATATTAATTTTGTCTGTAAATAATATTTTAAATAATAGTTTGCCTGTCTTGTTTGTCAGAATTATAAATTCATTATTGAAATATTACAATGAGATTCCAATCTATTCCCAAATAAATGCCCATAACTTATTTTATCAAAATTAAAAAAATTTTTACCTACTTTTGTATTTCTCAATTGTCATATACATTATACATTATATACCAAAACTAATTTGGATTAATTCCTCTCCAAAAACAGTTTAATATATCTGAATATGAGATTAAAATTATAACTTGAACTTATTAACTTGAATATCGATTTTTTTAATTGATATCAACTGGAAATAGTTAGATATCTAGTAATTAAAACTAATTTTAATGTATTATTTACAAGTCTGATAATTACAGAATTTTCAAATAAGATTGATTTAATATTTTATGAAAATAGATAATCTAGTGATAGATAATTGCCAATTAAATTAAAATCTTAATTTTAAGTTTAATATGAAGTAAAAATTTTTACATTTTATAAAATATTCATCAGTTAAGAAAAATCAAATTGTCAGGAAGCAAACAACCTAATTCTTTTAGAAGTGTGTATGAAAAATTTTAAATTAAAATAAACATTCATGGAATTTGTCATTTTAACATCAAATCCAACTTAAATAAGATTCAAATCAACAATAAACCTGCTTTAAGTAAATTCTATTGTTTATTTGAAATTTATTTGAGTTGGATCTGATGCTGGAACAGTGAATTTTTAGAAATATTCCTCTTAATTAAAAATTTGTCATATAGACTTCTAAAAAGAATTAAGTAATTTGTTTTTTGACTACATTTAAAAAATGATCTAGACCAGCATTTCTCAAACTTTTTTTTGTGTGACCCAAAATATTTCTGTGTAATGGTTCCATGAACCAAATATAAATTTTTTTAAAAATCTGGTAGTCACTATATTATATAATGAAATAAAATTATGCATTATTGATAACTTCTACATGTGAAATATAACATTGAGTACATTTCTATTAAGAGCAGTTCAGGCCAATTTCGATTTGTAACAAATAATTTATTTCAGTTTTTATTATTGATATTTAACTATTAAAAAATTTAAGACCAATGATTGTAAATAAAACATACTGTTTCAAAATTATTCAGGAATCTATTTTACTTTGAAAAATATTACAAGTTTTTTTTTTATAAACTTAATGAACCCTTTTTTAAAATGTATTTTTGAAATTGTGAGATTTTGTTGATTTCATTTTGTATATACATAAAAAAGAAATTCTTTAAAAATTATTTATTGATTCACTTCTGCTAAAATTCATCCATTACTTATTTTTTATAATTTACTGTTATGTATGACAATAAACCTAAAAGTATGAATAAACAAGAAATATTTCCAAAACCATTGCATCTTAAATGGCTTTATGACTATGATCTTACATAAAATATCTGTTTTGATGTTATTCAAAATAGAAAAGATAAATCAATTTCATATATACATATTCTACTACTACTATATTCTTACAGCATGGATATGTGTATGCCATACACATATTCTATAATCTTAATTTTATTACTAAATGACAATAATAATTATAAGAAAAAAGATATTAAAAATTTTCATTACTTAACACAGTGTTTCTCAACGGGGGCGATATCGCCCCAATGTGGGCGTTTTTCCATGTTGAGGGGGCAATTAGTAACGATTTATATTTTGGGGAGCGGAAAAACAATTTTTTGGGCGATAGAGTAAAACATTATATTAAGAATAATTAGATATTTTATTCGTTATATCGTACAATAATTAAACAAATAACATTATATTAGTCACTAGTCTATTCAATGCAGTACGAATTTGGTGTTAGCCTTGGCCCTCGCATCGGAATTTTGAAGTGAAGGGGGCGATACTTCGTAACGGTTTTATTGAAGGGGCGATGATTCGTTAGAGGTTGAGAAACACTGACTTAACAGATGCATCTATTGTTATCATCATCATCAATCCTAGGCTCATTGTTTGTTGGTGTCTGATGCTTTTTCCACTATTTTGTTCCATTTCTCCATATCCATTGTTGATTTTCTCAATTTCCATACATTTGCTCCATACCACTTCATGTCATCAATCCATTCTCAATATGGTCTAACTCTTGTTGGATCTATCCATAATACCATAGACTAAAGTCTTAATTTTTTTGTTTTCATTCATTCTTGCGATGTGTCCAAACAGTTGAAGTTTTCATTGTATAATTTTTTGTAAGAGATTCTTTTTCATATATATCCGATTTAAAGTTCTTTGTTTGTGACTTTCTGCATCCATCTATTGTATATATGGAATATTTCAGTAATATTACTAAAATATTCTCTAAGAACTAGGAAGTATTACAAGTATTTCTGCAGAAGGTAGTATCATTTTGTGACCCATTAAAATTCTAATGTGACCCAATATTGAGTTGTGACCCATAGTTTGAGAAATGCTGATCTATACATCTAAATAAACTGCTTAAAATTCAAGCATATTTGTGGCCTTTATTATAGTATAGGTATTTTAAATTTTAAGTATTGTTGTATATGGCAATATACACAGTGATCTATTATGTATACGGTCCTGCCTAAAAGTTTGGAAATATGGATTGAAATAGAACTAGTTTTGTAATGTACATACATATCATCACCTGAATATATTATTGACAAGACTATGTCTTGTTTATAAATCATACCGCCTGCTGTGTTACCAGCTTAGAGGTATGAAGGAGTACATGTCAGGAGTTGCAATTTGGCACAGAATATTAAGTGCCCAAATCATGTGTGCATAAAAAGAACTAGACTTGTAGGTATTCAGGGGACTGAGAACTGAGTCAAAATAAAATACAAAATGGCGACTCTCTCTACAAACAGGCAAACCAAAGTCATATGGTGAGAGTACCACCCACCATCGTTCTAGGAAGTGAACTCTGACTCTAGGACTGAACACGTAGTATTTTTTTTTGTTAAATAAAATTTGTAATCTAATTTTGTAAATTTGAGAATGCTTCAAATATGACATTAAAACAGGGTTTTATATAGATAATGTTAAAATCGTGGGACCGATAAAAATTTGACATTATATTAGGGTAGTGGTTACATTTGATGACGTTATAATCAGGTTAAACTGTATATTGTTTGTGCAAAATAAAAAAATAATTTCAGATGATACAATAGCCATGATTATTTTTTCAAAAACGGGAAATTTTCGTTATGCATCAACAAAAATTCAGTCTGGGCCAACATGCAATGGAGAGAAATTTTGAAATTGAATAGGTTAATTTCATCGACATCATGGACAATCTCGTGGTAGTGGCCAGCAAAGTTTGAATGATCATGCCCACAAGCAGTGATACCAAAGAAGATTGGAGACTGAGAACGAGACTTGTCTTGAGTGTCAAAGTGATTCCATTTAGTAGTGAATCTCTGAGACATAGTCTTGTCCCAAATACAGTTTTGCCGTTTTACTTGTTCTTTCTTATTTTGAGGTGTTTTTAATTTCAAAAGTTTGGAAACGCATTCAAATAAATTTTTCTAAACTTTTGGCCATGACTGTATCGTAGGCTCTCAAGTTAGCAGACTCCAGAATTAACAGACAAAAAATTTTTGTTGTAAAGGAAAAATTTAGAATTTTTTTTAACTTGCAAATAGAACACATTATAAATTGGTCAATGAATTTAAATTAATCAATGTATACTATAATAATATCTTATTAATACTTAAATATTATAATAACATTTTAATATCTCTTGTACATTGTAAGTTCATTATTAATGTAGGGCATTTTATAATGTTTTTTGAAATCAAAAAAGTCACTGCAAGAGAAGTACTGAACTCACTTCAGTGAAACCAGCAATAGACAGGGCAGGAACTCAAACAATTTTTTTTTAACACTTACAAATGTTCAGTATGTGCACCATGGCTGTCACTGCATGCATTGATATGATAATCCAGTTCTTGCCATACATTTTGCAAAATGGGCCTATCGATAGTGGACACTACTGTGACAACATGCTGTTTTGGTTAAGTGATGTCATGCAGCAATGGTGGGACAAAAACTTTATTTTTTATGTAATTCCACAAAAAGAAATCATATGGTGTGAAGTCCGGTGATCTGGAAGCCACATCAGGTATTGATTATTTTGAGACACATGTCTTATTCTAGGCCCTAGCAGCTCTGTATCCATGTAGAAACAGACTTCCTTATAAAAATATATGAGGCAGCTGCCTTATTAAAAAATGAAATT